TAAAATAGATTTATACGCGTTACACGCCGTAACGTGTTCGTTTTCAGGAGGACTAGCTTTATTGCTGGACGCGGCCGCGCACTCGTTTCCCACGACGGAACACATTATCCGCGGCGATGGGCTTTTTGCTCGCGCGACGATCCCAGGCGAGTCGAATATTTCGAGGAGGAAGCGATCGATCAGTCGAGCCGCGTACCAGTGATAAATTGAGTCGCGCCGCCGTGGATCTTCCGCGAACGGAACGGTTTCGCGACTCGTACGATCCGCCTCGCGGCGGAGATAGGGAGGAAGTCGGCAATAATAATTAGTCTCCCGATGCGCGTCTACGATCCGTCGATAAGGACCACCCGTGCTGGAGGAACGCTGATCTTTTCACTCGTGGAACGTTGGAGGAGCGAGGTTTAACGCTGGGTTTATGAAAGTCAGTCTGATTTCATTGATAATGTGTAATCGTTCGATTCACGTCGGTTTCGATCGATCAGATTAGCCTTTAATTAACCCTCTGTTCGTATTTGGAATAGTAAGTGGTGAACAAATGACTTAATTACTTGGACACCAAGAGATCAGTGTGTAGTTTCCTTTTCTTCTATTGTTTAACTCCTTGCTGTACAATGACGAGTGAGACTCATGATCAATGTTGTTCATTGGATGGAAAATTTTGCTACTTTTCTTCTAAATTGCCGATAGTAAAATGCTACACGAGCTTAGTAGCGAAAATAAATAGTACGTCACGGGGTTAAACATTCGATGGATAATTTAGCTTCAGGTGTAACAAGTTTTGTGTACTTTGGAGAATCTTGGTTCACGAATCTTTTGGGAACCATGGAATAAACTGTAGGATAAATGTTCGTGAACCTAGCGTTGAAGGTGTGAAGGAACGGGAGGTTTATTGTCGTTTTCTATCGAAGGATACAGGTGTCCGTTTATCTGCTATTTCTCTATGATTCCATTCCGCGCGGCGATAGGCTGACGTGATGGGCGAAACAGCATTCTCGGTTTCTATTTTCCCTTCTGGAGCATTTGACGAAGAAGAATCACGATGGTTAGATTTTAACAGCGAGTCAAATTAAATTAAATAATAAATAATTTAATTCCCAATAAATTATTAATGGTGAAGTAGTTGTATCATAGGTGAAAAATGAATCATAGAGCAAGGAGTTGAGACGATCAAACAGCTGACAGATACAAAATAATATTTAAATAATAAATAAATATTATTTTGTATTTGTCAGCTGTTTGATTGTCTCAACTCCTTGCTCTATGATTCATTTTTCACCTATGATACAACTACTTCACCATTAATAATTTATTGGGAAAAGAGAAGAATTCTATGTGCATTTTATATCTACGTTTGCTGTACAATATAATAATTAATAACGGAAGAATAATATTTCACTTGAATTCAAAAGAATTGAGCAATGTTTAGATTTGTTAAATCCTATTTAAAAGGTTCACGAGTCGCACGCGTTATTGCAAGACAAGGCGTTAAAAATAGACATCAGGAAAATAATCTATTGCTACAATTTTTATAGGAATTGTATATTAATCGGATTAAATGCTCGGTAGTTCTAGTGTTAAAATGTACTCTACGTGCATTCGTCCTGCGTTCGACAAGTACACGCTCTATTTTTCGATTTCATTGTGTAGAACCAGAGGTTTCTCCAAGTAAATTCCACAGTTCACTGGTTAACCCTTTGCGGACGGATGTCATTTCGGTGAGATGAAAAGTTTAGATTTGGAAGACTAAGTCGTGGACAAATGATCTAATTAGTCGAACAGCAAGAGATCAGCACGTGGTTTTCTCTTTTTAATTAAGCAATTGATATACAATTTAGCTTCATACGTCGAAGGCTTTGTATATTTCGAAGAATCCTCCGCAAAGGATTAAAGCAATTCTTATTTATTCGCCTATTTGTCAGGTTACGATTGGACGTTGCTTCCGGTAACATCGCGAGCTGGAGGTCGGAGGAGTGCCCACGTGAAACGTCCGATGAACGCGTTCATGGTCTGGGCGCAGGCTGCGAGGCGTAGACTAGCGGATCAGCATCCGCAGCTGCACAACGCTGAGCTGTCGAAATCGTTGGGCAAACTGTGGAGGTAGTACCTCGCTGCTATTGTTCTCCGTAACACATTTTATTCTAGTCTCCGTTAACCTGAACATAATCCAACAGAATCCTGAGCGACCGTGAGAAGCAGCCATTCGTGGAGGAGGCTGAGAGGCTGAGGAACGCGCACAAGAAACAGCATCCTCATTACAAGGTGACTGAACGTCAAACCTTAACTTTGAACCCCTTGAGAAATTTTCGAGTGCGAAGGTTCAACGTTTTTTAGTAAAATATATACGACGGTAATTGAAACCAATCAATGAGAAAATCAAGAAACAAAGCCGTTTTGTTCGAATATTTCGCATGTCAATGCATTATACAAAGCGTAACCCCTTGTCCTATAATTTCAAGATGATTTCCAATAGAATTTAACAAACATAAATGCTAATTAATTCTTCCAACTCCGAATTGAATATTATTCTTCCATTATCAATTGTAGCGCTTTTAAGTAAACGTAGACATAAAACAAGCGTAAAATTTTCCTCTGCTAAACGCAATTGCGAAATGATAGAGCAAGTGGTTAATATTACATATAACCTTATAAGTTTCCATTAAATCAGTAACTGAGAGTCACCTCTCGAGTACAAAGGATTAACCCCTTGGCCTACGATATATTTCTCAACTCTGGTCGATACTACTTTGTCGTTAATAATTCATTGGAAAAAGAGAAAAATTCTAAGCATACGTTATGCCTATATTTCCTTTTAACACTAGAACTACCGAGCATTTAATACGATTAATAGGCATTCATTGTAGTACTGAAATGAACCTATTAATTTCCAAATCATTTTGAATATTCAATGCTTCGAAGATATGAATAATTGCTAAACAAAAGAACCGAAACCAGTCATTTTGACTGGTACGGTAGTTCTAGTGTTAAGTATAATAGTTGATTACAGGGGAATAATATTTACTTCGAATTCAAATGAACTAACACATATATTTGTTGAATCATGAAAATCTCCACGAGTCTAACTCGTTATAGGATAAGGCACTCCAGATAGTTTTGTTATTTATCAGCAACTGTAACTAATTTTTATGGTATCTCTAGTGAAAATGAAAAATGCTATAACATTCTTTCGATCTTTTATTTTCCTTTTCAGTACAAAATTTGGATGCGTGGAAAATCTAATAATTTTAGGGTAGTTTCTTTGATTCATTAAAATATTTGATGTTATAACTGGTGCAATATTGGAGCCTACAGAGTTGAAAGGGTTAATCTCCGAAAACTCGAACGAATCACTCGGAAAACACGTTCGCCAACTCCCTTCCTATTACGATTAAATGAAAATTTTGATGCTTTCACGGCCTGGATTGTTAGATTCATTTCTGGCTTTCGGGAGAGAGCCGTGTCCACTAGGAATTTTTTTCAATTGTTCAGCTGACCAATTAAAATAATTGGTGACCATCGATTCAGAACATGAACAAAGTACCTATTTAACCCTCTATAGGCCCATGTAACTTTGAAGTCATATCAATATGTAGCATCTTGTTGATTTATATTTCATTTTGCACTCAAAGTGGTGAATAAAATTAAGTAATCAGTTAACTTAAACTTTTATACGCTCAGGCGTGAAAGTATAACATCATTGTAACTTGAAAGTTATAAAATATATTCGTCTGATAGAATTATTGAAACTATTGAATACATTGTTAATTCATATTCATATGTAGATATTTATTAATTTTACACTGCATAGATTTTGTTATAATCATGAACAAAAATTCGGCCCATAGAAGGTTAAAGAGACTCTTCCTCGACACACATCAGTATCAGTATGCCTTTAGCTCCCTGATAAAGCCAGCTGCAACGCTGGCGAAACGTTGGGAAAAAATTCCTAGTGAACACGGCTCTCTCCCGAAAGCCAGAAAGGAATCTGATTAAATGAAATGATTTCCAGTACCAGCCACGCCGCAGGAAACCGAAGCCAGAGGAGCAAATGGGTATCGTGATGCACCGTGGTCCTCTATCCTCGCCAGGCACCTCGCTGGACTCGACGAGCTCCTCCGACTGCACGTATCCCCGCCTGTACCCGGACACCAGCCTGAAAACGTACGACAGACCAACCTACCACGAGAGCAAAGCCACCTACGACCTCTCCAGGTCATCTTGGCCCAGCGACGCGACCAAGTATCCCGTCGATCACGAGAACAAACCGTACGAGACCAACGCGAAGAGCTACACGGACGCGAAATGCTACGACGCCGTCAAGTATCACGAGGTATCCGCGGCGAAGTACCACGAGACGATGCCGAAGTACTCGGATCTGCAAGCGAAGCCCTACGATCTGCCCAAGTACCCGGAAACGCTCAAGTATCCCGCGGACGTGACGAGTCCCAGCAAATCGTACGCGTGCGTGCACAGCCAGTATTACTCCGCGCCCGAGGGATACGCGATGCACGAGGAGAACGACTACCAAACGCAGCCCGTCTCCACCCACTCGTTTTACCCGTACATTTCTGCGTCCATGACGCAGCCCCCTTACTACATGGGTCCTCGGTAGATCCCGCGGAAACCCGTTTGCGCGCGGAACTGCCCGAATCCAAGGAGAACGGTTTTTGACACTAAACGTATGTAGGTTTGTTCGAAAATTCTAATCCTTTGGGTCGTTTTCTTTCGGATTTTCATTTCTATGTTGTTTTAACACTTAGCCAACCGAATGGGGAGATCTCCCACTTTTCACTTAGCAACGTGTTGCCTTTTATTCTGTTTATCTTTTCTTTTGTTATTTAGTAAGTTTTGAAGCGGGATTATTTGCAATTCATGAAATACGGTTCTTGTTTTTACAAAACAGTTTCTAACCAAATTCACTGAATGAGTTCAATTTATAGTTCTTTTTAGGTCGCTTAAGTGTTAACACGTTCTATGTGTATCATATATGGTATATAAAAATTTTTGTGGGAAATGTTTAACCCTTCGCACTCGAGAATATTTTTCTTGAGAAATATTCATTATTCTCTGATGAAGTATTAATGATATTTTTTGCAACTACGCAAAGAAATACCTTGTATAGATTAAGTGATAGAACTATTTCATTTTGGTGTTTCACGTGAAGATACATTATAGAAAATTTAACATTGAATCTTAGATTTTGTCATTTTGCTCAGTGGCTCAAATGGCGACTGAAAGGCGCCTCTCGAGTGCAAAAGGTTAACACGTTCGCTACCGGTGTTTACGCGATCTCGATTGTATTTTATTCGAAACAAATCTAAGTATCGGAAAATGAAACTGGGGTAAGTTTGAGTTTCTAGATATAATGCTGTTGCTTATGGCTTCGAATAATATGTGGAAGATCAGTTTCGTTTGGTTTATGTGAAATATAAGATTGTCAAATATGTAACGCCGGTAGCGAATGTTAGAACAAAGCACTGGAAATATAAAGGAAGAATATGGGAATATATAAAAATTACTAGAAACTTGAATATTTTATTGAAAAAATCAGTATGGTTCATAAACAAAACATGACCGAAATTTCCGTGGCACGGAACGTGTTAATCAGTTTCCTCATTTTCACGTTGTTTTATTTCTCTCAGTTTCTGTTTACGATGAGAACAATTTATCGACTGACTTGTTTACTTCTGTTTCATAACAGATTAACTGGTTTCACAACTGATTAATTGGCTTATACTCGCTGAAGCATGCGACGATACAGGCATCGCACGAGACGATAGGTTTGAGGCTATTAGAATTTTTGTTTGAGTGCAACATGTGTCATGGAACTTCGAGACTCAAACCCATCGCTTGTCGCGATGCTGCATCGCCATGTTTTTAGCGTGTATGGGGTATCTGCGTTTCACCTTACACGTTGACTGCCATCGATGACCGAGTTTCCAAATTGCTTGAAAACAATTGCGAGAAAATTGATATTGAATCGAAATATTAGTAATTGATATTGCGCTCTAAATTGCTTGAAAACAATGACAATAAAATTGACATTGAATCGAAATATTTAGTAACACAAGAAGCTAAATAATGCAATACAAATACTATAATACCAAAACAATAATTACTTCAAACACTATTAGCCTTCATTATAAAGAAATAATTCTGATTACAACAAAACGCTCGAAATTCTCATGGCTGTGAACGTGTTAAAGGTACGTTTATTGTCAAATGATACCTACCGAACGGTAGCTGCGTCCGACAGTGAAGTAAGTCCTGATGACTGAAGTAGTCCGTTTAAACAAATGTGTCGATACACGTTTATACTTACCTACGTACATTGGCAGACTCAAAAGGAAATAGTTTTGGTTCACGACAGAACTATCTAAGTTTAACCGACAGCAAATTGGCAACTGTCTCGTCATTGATTCACTGCTCGGAACGTTTTTATTTAAACCGTTGACCTTGCCGATCCCCGTTCCGCGACGATGAACCGTTTAATGACCCTCCAGGTGATCGTAGAAATGAGAGTGTGGGGGACTCGGATAGATTCGTTAGATTGCTTCGTGTTTCTTTTTCTTCCTTTGCTATTTATTATTTGGCGTAAAACTTTGCAATTAATAAACAAACAGATAATTAAATAATCCAATCAACCGTATCGCACGCTTCCATCTACGAACAGTAATCACGCGGTATAATTCATTAATCACCATTAATATCAACAACCCAACTATTCTCTTCCACTCCTAAACGGGGTTACGCGAGTATGGAAAAGAATAATAGAATTCGGCTAAGAATGAGTTGTGCGCAGTCGCGAAACAAAAAGAGAAGACTCGGAGGTAAGCTTAATTAAGACTTAAAGCATCTACGGAGAAACGATCGATGATCTATGTGGATGTATCAACTGAATCGAGTGCGGTGCAATCGTGTCAGCGGCGACGTGTGCGATGCGAATCAAACGAAACCGTCCGGTTGTCCCGCGTGATCGATTCAGAAGGTACAGAAACGCATTTAAACATTGCGAACGTCGCGGTTTATTACAGCAGCTAATTCTTTTATTTGATCCCTGTTCGCATGCATAAACGCTTTAGCGCTCCATATCATTTCCGCGAGTACTTCGTCGCTCTTCTCGTCCATGGCGATGTCCTGCGAGAGTTGGGGGTTGAACCTGTAATAAGGTACTCCGATCATGGAGCACCAGTTCCTCGCACGGTCCACGACTCTGCCGTCGCAGGCGGTTGCCTGGTCCACCAGCAGTTCCGCCAGGACTGATATACCCATGGCGATCTTAGCGGTGTCCCACAGACTTTCAGGTACAAAGATGTCTATATCCTTCAACGGGCTAGCAGGGACCAGCCCTGTGCCGAGCGACACGACCAGCGACAGTGGAACAGCTGCTTCTTCGCGGCCCATCGCGCTTAAAGCTAGATTGTACTCGTGAATCTCGGTCATGGCGTCCAAAGTCGGATTGTTCGCTATTAGGCCACCATCCAGGAACTTTCCGAACGCCCGGAAATACGACGGCGCCGCGCCAGTAGCGCGAGCAGCGTGCCACATCAATTGTTCAGTTGGAGACGCAGGGGTGAAAGACGTTGAACCCTCTTTAACCTTCAACAGCGCACTCGGCGAATCGTAGTTCCGGAATAAATGTAGATCCACAGGCTTCTTGTCCGCCAGGACTCCAGTGATCATCACCTTCGGCTTCTTGATGTCCGCCATGACCGCTGTCGCTCCTAAACTGTCCTTCAACACCTTCTCCAGACATTCGCTGTTGTAGGGACGCGTGCCGACGAAGGCTTCCTCTTTGATGCGGAAGTACAGCGCCTGGCACTCTCGCAGAGACTTGCCAGTGGCTAGGCCTAGAGCCAGTATGCCTCCAGTCGAGGTACCGGCGATCCAATCAAAATGCTCCACGATGGGCCGCTGGAGAACGGACTCGATCTCTAAGAGAGTCTGCACGAGGACTAGCCCACGAATCCCTCCGCCGTCGAGGCACAACAATCGGCCACCTTCGATTTGCTTCTTCCCCTGCGTCGCCATCTTGTCCATGCCGTTGATGTGGAGCATTTGATCCAGAACCGTCCGTGGAACGGCTGTCGGTGGTTCTGGAGGGGCGATGCCGTAGAAATTCTCGTCGTGCTTGCAGCCTATGCTGCAGCCTGTCATGTCGGCTAGACAGCGTTGAGCTCCCACCGCGTGCAGGATGTACAAGATCTTCTGGCCCTCGTTGCTGTCGATGTTCACTCGATGCCGTGGCGTTTCCCATTTCCAATTCCTAGCGTCGATGTCGGCGCCGAAACCTATCAGAGTCTGGACTATCGCCGACGTGCCCTCGGACACTGCCAAGTGCAATGGCGTGTTGCCGTCCTTGTCGGCAATATTCACGGAAGCCATGTGGCTCAAGAGAGCCACCACGCAAGGAAGACGTTTTCTCATCGCCATTATGTGCAGTGCCGTCCGCCCGTCGAAGTTCAGAGCGTCGATGTCGCAGTTTGTCTCGATCAGCGCGTTGATCACTTCCCTGCTCTGCGACCAGTGCAGCGGCGTGCCGCCGAACTTCATGTCCTCGGCGTGGAGAACGTTCGGTTTACTGTGGAGGAGATCGCCTACGTATCCGGGACTAGAAGGCTGGCCCTCGGACGCTGGGATGTTCACGTCCGCGCCAATCAGGAGAAGCGCCTTCACGCACTCGGGTTTGTTGTTCAAACAGGCGACGTGTATTGGTGTGTGGCCGTCGCTGTTGCGGCTGTTCAAACTAGAAGGAAGATGCCCACCCAGAGCTAATATTATTTCTTTCGTAGAGGTGGCTGCGTAATGGTACACTGTGTTCGCATTGTGGTCTAGGTGTTCTAGAGAACTTTTCGCTTCTATCAGCATTTGTACTGTGCGCAGGTTATTGGTCTGTACTGCAACTTGCAGTGGAGACACTCCAGTCTTTATGTCTCCACTGTTTAACTGGCTGTTCACCGCTGCATAGGTAAATGCATTGTACAATGCGAAATGAGCTGCTAGGTGAGCCAGTGTCCAAGTAGGGTGCTCCACTAAAGTATCGCATAGCTTTTGTATCTTGTGCACATTGCAGAGCTGTACAGAGAATATTATTAATCAGTTAAAGTCATTATGTGGATTTTTAATAATTAATCTTCTTAGTTCTGCTGTGTATAGATTATAGAATTTAATCACCTCTCGACAAATTTGGATCAACACTGGAATCTTGTCTTTGTATATAATAAAATGTTGCTCAGCTTGTGCTCTGTCTTCTGACCGGTATAAGCTGAAAGCATTATTTTAATAAATGCAAAACTCTGCATACTTCTGTCAAGTAAAGAACCAGCTTATGTAAAGTACATTAATAATACCTGAACGCCTGATGCAATGTCTCTGTGCAAGGTCTGTGGAGAACAATGTCATACTTCTCATTTTTATTTCCCAGACTATAAAGCACAATGCTGTCCTCGCGACAGAGAATATGTCGATTGCCATAATGTTCTGGCTTTACTTCTTGTACTATATTCGATGGTATATCCGAACTCACAATATTTCGAAGAACATTACTAGCGATTGTTCCCAACCAAGTCATCGCAGAGAATTTTTAGGTTAACCGCGAGACGCAACTACTAGAATAACTTTTAATCGACTGAAGAGACGGTCTTACTGAATCAATACATTATATAAATCTTGATTCATCATTTCTCAGAAAAGCTGTTACGATCGTGTCAGCGTTGCAAAAAATAAATAAATAGGTGTCTAGTTAACAACCTCGCAGCAGAATCGACACAAAAGTAGTGTCACTTTCATAATAAACAAACTTCAGAAGATACTAGCGACAACAGCTCCATGCCTTTATTGCAAATACATAAATTTGCGTGATTACAAAATTCTAATTATTCATTCTTTAGAGATCACACAGATTCTGCATGAATCAGTTCCGGTGGAAAATGATGTTATTAATATTTATGTTAGACATGAAAAGAGCACGTACTCTATAAAGTCTACCGCTACGCTCATAAACGACTATACGAATAACGGCAAGAATCACTTGCTTCAGAAAACTCTATCCTCGATGACAGTGTCCTCCGTGGCAAAACGCTCAAACTGGTTAGAAATAACACAACTTAAGCCGAACCGACTACGCATTGAATTTTTTTTTCCCATCCCCAATTCTGATATACCCCCACTATAAAAAATGTCCTAATGTATTATTGCAAACTGCATAAAACAACAAAATAAAAAATGTTTCATGGAAGGACAATTTTTACACTTGTACAGGCTCTAAAAATTGTATTGTTGAAATAAGGATTGGAAATACTTATTTGTAACATGTTTCTGAAAATAAAAACACTTATATATTATAATATAAATAGAATTATCATTACCCTAATAAACATTATCATGATGCTGACAGATTAAAGTCAACAAAACTCAGAAAGCAACAGACTGGCGTCTGCGTAAGGCGGGTTGCAGTACGCAGGGGCAGTCTCTATATCTGTAATGTGTAAGACAAGGATAGAGAATCATGGGAGCGAGCGACAGTGGCGCCATCTAGCG